AATGGGATGGTTTGGAAATAAAATTTTAGTTGTCCTTTTCTAAAATAATACAACCAAATAATTCTAAATAAATCTTGGTACAAAACATGACATTAATATTCTTTTTTCATTATACACAAATATTAGAAAATATTATTTAAAGACAGAAGCAAGGTAGCTGGTTAATAGCATAATCAATGTTTATGCTCTGTCAATCCAAATTGTGTTTTTAATTTATGATGCCTTTTCTCATATTACCACCAGTATGCTTTGTGATAAATGTTATTTTAAATTATCATTTTCATAGACATGTATTTTGTGATGTACATATTTATTTGTGTATTTGGTGTAAATTTGTCAACTCACTGTTGAACTGCCCCTGAAATTTAGTCTTTAAAGGTCTTATTGCATCTTTGCCAGGCACAGCCAGGCACAAATTTAACAATCTCAGCTGACTAAATCCACTCTAAACTAAAAGCCACAACATGGTGAATTTAGGTCACAAGTTTTAGGACAACTTGCAAAGAGAACTTTGAGAACGTGGTTAAGTTTGAACTATTGCAATGATATTTTTGGAGTCTGCAAATGGTCTCAGATAATTGTTGTTCTGAGTCCAAGAGTGTACCCTGAGAGCTCGGGTGCTTAATTGAAACCCATCAGAGGAAGTTTTCCCCTGTGGGTGCCCGGGGAGCCCGACCCCGTCTCTGCGGTCGGCCGGGGACACGGGGGAGACGGAGCTTGGCAGCCGCCCCCTCGGGTCCTCTCAACGGCCCTCTTGAAGCAGAACGCTCCACTGCTCTCCTCGTTCTCTCTTACCACTCCTGCGCTGAGGTGAGACCTCCGTGTTCCACCGGAGACTTTTATTCCGCTATTAGTCACTTTATTATTGCATCCACTACTCTGGCTGGTCAAACTGCTTTGGAGCGGGCCATATTCCTGAAATCCCGCTTGAGTAAATTGTTCAAGCGTTGGACAAGGTGAGAAGAGGAGGGTAATCCAAGCAGAGATAGCAGTTTCCGTATTCCCAGTCCCTGACAAATCCTTCCAGTCAGACTACGTCTTCGTGCTAGCAGCGCCAAAGACACCCGTGTGCCATCTGAATCGTGCCTTTTCTCTCCCCTCCTTTACTTTCGTCCAAATCTGAGACCGTTCAGAGCAAGGTCATGGTTCTGCGTATACTGGAGTTTTGTAGCATCCGATCACATCAATGCTTCCATCAAGCACGCTGCCATTTTCGATTCCTCTGTGGCAGACGCGGTATTTGGTAGGGCAGCGCGGCGCTCGCTCTTTGAGAGAAGCCAGCGGGCTCTGCCGGGTCGTTATTAGCGCCAGGACTTCATGGAGTCGGCCATTGGTAGGATATTCCTCTGGATTTTCTCAAAGAGAGATTATTTACTGCTGTTAACATTTTCTGGGTAATCTCCATGTACTTTTGTTTCCCCTGCCATTCTGAGCCTTTCATGGGCATTATCCAGTGATTGAATAGACAGGCATGACAGCAGACAAACTGTCTTATAAGCTGTGCACCAAGCAAGAAGAAAGGAAAAACAACAAATGGTCTCTACAGATACTCTTAAGGAACACCTTTCTTTTCTGGTTCATGTAGCAATATATGAGGACACCTTCACAGAGGGTGTATGAAGGGACTATGCATGCTGAAGCGCACTGATTACTGGTATCTGTCTTTCTAGAAACAAGCAAGCTGACGTGTTCATTTCAGACATGTGTTAGCAAAGCAGCATTCAGTACACTAAATTAACTTCTTCCTTTGTTGCCTATTTTTATTTGACAAAGGGTTCATTGCATATCTCACACATTCTGCTATATACGACCCTCGCCTGTCTAGGCCATATCCAGTAAAGAAAGACCTCGCCTTTCTAGCAGCTTTTATTTTTGATTGAAAAATATCAATACAAAAATCAACAGCAAATGAGGAACGAAACTTTTAGGCCATTGTGACTGTTTTGAAACAAACTTCGTAGTAGCTACTATACTGATTGAATTATTCCTGCTTATATGCTACTAGAAAAGAGCTTGTGTTTCAAGATGTTTGAAAGTGATACAGCACTTCTCCCAGACTGTCACTGAATTTTTCCAAGACATTTGCCTTTGCAACAGAAAGTACTTTGATTTGAAAAACTGAAATATATGGCAAATGTTAAATGGATTAAAAGCTGGCTCACTGACAAATTGAAAAATGTGGTGTTAATGGACAGATATAAATGACTGGGATGTGTCTAGCAGGGTCTGACTGCAATCAGTTCTTGAGTGAATAGCACTTAACATTTTTATCAACCGTCTAGACAATGATATAAGACATCTTCAGTAAAGCTTGACCATGACAGACATTGTTGAGGTAGTAAATAATGTGCTAGATAACTGCAGAAGCTAATAAAACAGATTTTAATATTGCCAAACACCAGCCTCTTGTGCGGGATAGGAAAGTGTATGTAGTTGTAAAGCTGTGATTTAGAGAAGGACAGGTTATCAAAGATAATTGGGTCTACTTAAGCTCTTTGTGCAATGTTGTGGAAGGAAAAAGCACTAATGCAATAATGTATGTATTAAAGTCAGACTGTCGAGTGGAATGGGGTCACGATTGCCTCTGCATGCTGTATTGATAAGACTGCTTCTAGAATGCCAAGTTGAATTTTGGTGTCCCGTCTTAGGGAAAATAAGGAAACAGGACAAAAGGAAGATATAGGGATGCACAGGACCTGGAGATCAGGTTTTAAATCCTATGTAGCTTTAAGAAGTTCGGCTTGGTTTGTCATTATGTATGGATATTTGGGCATGAAAAATTTGTTTGTAGGTATGGGACAAGGAGCAGTTTCGGTATCATTGATAAAGACGCCACAAAATTCAGTGACTGGAAAATTAAATTAAGGGGAAAAATGCAGCCTTGAATTAACTTGCACTTTGTTAGCTTTGAGGATTACTAAATAGTGGAACAGCTGATGCGGGGAGGTGATAGACTCATCAGTGCTAGACATCTTAAAAAAAAAAAAAAAGCGCGGGAAAGACAGAGTGCTCTTGCTAAAAGACACGCTGTAATCCAGCAGCTGGAGGGGACTGCGCGTTGGAGGTGAACAGCCCGTTGGGAGAGCAAGCACGGCGGTTCTGGCCATTGCTGGGATCTGTTAATTTTGTGATTTCTTTTTCACTGTTCATGTACTGTGAGGACAACAGTCATACATGTTCTGTCCTCAGTCTAAAACACATATGATTTAAACAGTTGCCTAGAGGAATCATGAAGAAATTACTTCCCCTGCTGTACACAGGACCAGATAGTTTGCTCGTTCTTTGCTGTCTTCTGATCCAGAAACCAGTCGAGGCTGAAACTCCGATCCCAGGAAGGTCGATCCAGTCCTCTGTGCTCTAAAAGGATCCTCTTCCACAGGTGGTCCCCAAATATGACTCGTGGTCACCACTGTAGTGGTCACCAGGTCTTACGGTGGGCAAGGACTCGGCACAGCCTCGAGGAGTGAACAGTAGTCCAGCAGAAGTCTTTGGGCTAAAAGCTCTTTCTGGCCTGAAGTACCACAGAACTATGAAACCTGGCCTCAGAACACGAGAGTCTCGAATGTAGGGCTGGGTTCTCCAGTGTCTGGCTGTGTTAGTTGGGCAGCACTTTCCGGGGAATAATTTTTTTTCTGACTCTAATAGATGGAAAAATTAGAAAAGCTATCAAAGAAGCTTCTTCTAGATCTGAAATAGCAACAGAGCCTTTAAACCAAAATATAGGTTGAGAGCAATTGCTCTCAGTCTAATTGGATGTGTTAATAAGTTGGACCATCTGAGAGAAGAGGTAGTGGACTGAGGAAAGTGTGAGATAAAAAGGTTGTTACCACCATGGGAAAGAGAGGAGCAGGTAATCTGTTGCTTGTTGGAACTTGGTGGTATCAGCTGGGGTAGGGGTTATAGAGGAAGGAGGTTGTACTGTGTGTACTGTGTGATGAAATCATTATTTCTATTGTGTCCATGTTAAAAACATTTTAAAATTTAAAATTATTAACATTTTAAATTTTTTTTAACATGGACACAATAGAAATAATGATTTCTTCACACAGTTTTGGGACTTACAAACTTCAGTAGGCTCCTTTTCAGAAGGTACCCTCCCGGAGTATGTCTCTAAGGGGTCAGAGGTTGAGAGATCTTTTAAAAATCGTCCCACTGATGCCTATTTCTTTCTGCCTTTAATAATTTGTTAGTGTCAATTCATTCTGATATTTAATGGTTGTTTAATTTCATCCATATAGTTTACAAGGCACTTGCATCAGATGAAGCGTATTGTGCTCAGGGAAATGAATTGGCAGGACCTGCAAATCTTGATGATGCTTGTCAGAAGACGTATTTTGTGGAGCTTGAGAATATTGGCAATTCTGCATTTGTTTCTTAGGTGTGGTCTGTTTCCTTTGGTGCATATCAGTCCACAGGGAATTTGCTTCTGATGATAGGTTTAGCAATGCTGGAGCTACGGGTAACATGCACCTCAGGGAGCCAGATTCCATAATAGAAAACATTTTTTGTCCATTGTCCCCGTGTAATACATAAGCAATATACAAAAGGGACAGTGGTTTGCTTATTCATATGCCACTAGATTTTACCAAGGAATTATTTGCTGGTTTGTGTCTTGTACTTGCAGTTTATCAGAATTCCTCTTAATTAAAAGCTTTAACGTATTTAGCTACACCTTATTTGGGGCTAGTCATTTATAAAGATGTGCTTTATCATGGTACTTACAGTGTTCAGCTTACCCTTTTTATGGATGTAATAGACCTAATTTGTACGGGTATATTGTTGCTTTTAGCAGTGTGATACTGTGCCTGCCTAGAAGCAGAAAAAAACACTTTTGGTTTGAGATTAGAATTAAAAGTTTATTGATGATCACTGCTATTGGAAATGCTGGAGAAAATATCAAAGGCTTTTTTTATTAGTTGGCTTTTTGTCTGTTTTGAGGGTTTGGGGGGGGGGTTTAAGTCATATTTAATGATTATATTCACTGTGACATTTTCTTCCAGGAATATCAGCCTTGTAACACCAACACGTGTCCAGAGTTAAAAAAGACAACCCCTTGGACACCTTGGACCCCAGTCAATATTTCAGACAACGGTGGCCACTATGAACAACGTTTCCGATACACCTGCAAAGCGCGGCTGCCTGACCCAAATTTGCTAGAGGTGGGAAGGCAAAGGATTGAAATGCGTTACTGTTCCAGCGACGGCACCAGTGGGTGCTCGACAGATGGTAAGCAAAGCTCGAGTGGCTGCACGACGCCTCCTGCGAGCCAGGTGTCTGCAGTTCCCTTTCCGCACAGAGTGGAAGTTTTTGCTCGCTGGTGTTTTGCGTAACAGGACTGGTAATGAAAAGGAGGACATAGCGATCACAACGGGGAATCTAGCTTGTATTTCTTCTGGATGTGGCTTCATCATTCAGACTAATCAAGTGTCTCTTACCACTGATTCTGAGATTTGCCAGGTTATTTTAATATTCTTTACAATAACCTGTGAGCCATGACGTGGCAGCCCAGTTCTTGGAGGATTCCGTCACCTCCTTGTATTCTCTCAGGATTTTACTGGGGGAGAGTTTGTGCAACATTAATGTATTTGATAAAGATTTAGCTAGAATATGTAGTATTGATGCCGAGAAGAACTTTTTGCTCAGTAATTCTAAAGTAGGAGCTCTAAGATTCATGCAGGTATTTAACTAAATAAGGAGTTTATGCACTGGATAATTTCTATTATAGAAGTTTATGTTATGCTATTGCTAGAAATTTAAAGTTCTGTTTATTTCTGAGATGGAAAACTGAACTCCTTCAAAATCTTTTCAACTTTAGATCACTTTAAATTGGAATTATTTTATTCCAGAACTTTGTTCTTTCCCTATCAGTAATATACAGTTTTGAATAAATGTTATGTGTACGTATATGAAAAATAAAACCTAGGAGAACTTCTGACAGTCACTCTAATTTTATTAATACATTTCATTAATTATCCAGTTTTAATGATATATCAGTGTTTCTTTTTAAGTATTATATTTTAGTTATATAATCTAAGGAAATACTGGTTTTTAATTTTTGTGTTTAAATATTTATAAACCTGCTTTCCACTTAAATAGCCTTTTGTATCTTCACAATACCCAGGTGAGCTGAAAAAATGTATAACTGAAGGCATTTGGCTTATCTAAGGCCAGAAAGAGAGAATGAGTCCTTGGGTTTTCTAATTCTCAGTATTTTTTTCAGACAGACCAACTATTGCGAAAATCAGTGTTAAGCAGTTCCTGCCTGTATTGGGTTTGCGTGGCAAGGTCTGGGGAGCTGGGGGGGTGCTGCAGGGGTGGCTTCTGTGAGAAGATGCTGGAGGCTTCCCCCATGTCCTTCATCCTGTGCAAAACCTTTATTGATTCACTAGACATCTGTGCCCCTTTGGAGGAGGCAGGACGTTCGTAATATTTAAAGAAATACATAGTAGTGAACTGCGTGAAATAATAAAACGAAGCCCGTGGTGCTCCAGATTGGAGTTTCACACTCTCTGTCATTCCCGTTTCAGGTAATCTACAGTCTCCAATGTTTATTGTTTAGGTCTGGATAGCAAGGCAGATTTTGGCATGGAGCAACTCTTGTAACAAGCGTTTCTGCTATTCTCCTGTTTTCATCCAAATTAAGTTTCAAACTAGCATTTAGCAAAGATTTTGCTCTGCTGGGATTGGTGTATGATCTACCTTTCTTGTCCTAAATAAGACTTTTAGGTGGCGGTGCTGCTTTTTGCTGTCTTCCAGCACTTAGACATTCATGACACCTTTTTAAAATTTCATGACTTTAAATGAAAAAGAGGATATTTTTGCCACCAGATAGTACAGAATTAGGAGAGTTATCACAACAACTAGAAGCAGATCTACAGAAGAATCTAGGTATGTTCTTGTCTGACAGCTGAGATGACAGCACTTAAGAACGGAGTGTAGGGCAGCCAACGCACTACTTGGAGAGCAGGTGGTGGGACAAACCAGTGCAAGAGCCAGTCTGTCCTAGATCACACTGCCGCAAGAAAATTAAGCATGGAGACACCCTTCTCAGCTCTGAAGTCATGATCATAAGTCCTCCTGGAGCTGGATGCATAAGCTGGCTCTTTCTTACAGAATATAGTCAGAAGTAGCAGTGCCTACGTTTTGTTTAATAAGGTGTTCGGGCAGAGCGCAAGAGGCAAGGGTGTGGGTCCAGGCACGTTCTTTGCCTGATTAGCTTGAAGATTTTTCTTTCACTTCTGAACATCAGATTCCTGAGTTTCCTGGTGTTGTAGCTCATTTGTTGCATCTTGCTGAAGCTGCTGCTTTGCTTCATTTGGAAATAATTAATCATTGGACCCATGTATGGGAGTGACCCTGTTGCATAGTAATTGAAATGTTCATCTGGGAGAAGGATTTTTGCTGACTAAGCCCAAAACTACTGAACATTTAAATACTTTATATTGAGTAGTCAACAGGGCAGAAACTATTATACATCTGTCCATTCTTCCTAGCGAGTGCCCTCAGAGCTTTGGCATTAATTCATGCTCATTCTTTGACTCTTTTTGGCCAGTGAGTTTTTAATTATCGTGTAATGCAAGATCAAACCCAATCAGTCTTCCAAGTGGCTACATTTATCAATATGGTTCTGGTGAAAAGAGTTACTGTTACATCTCCTTTACCCACATTTTATTTTGAGCCTGTTTGCTTAGGCATTTTCTGGTTATGGATGTCAGAACAGGGTGGAGTGGAACGTTTCGGTGGGGAGGGCTCTGCCTTGATTTGCTGATGTGATGCAACTTATTGACTGCCTCTAAACTGCAGATTCAGGAGCATTTCCCTGCTCCCAGGTTTGGGTTTGGGTCCACACACCACCCCTCTACTGGTCCTTGATTTCATGGGAAGAAAATAAGTGAATGAGAGTCATGTAGTGTAGCTGTAGCTTTTCAAACAGAAGACTCTCATGGGAATGGAAAACGGTGAATTTTGGCAGACACCTTCACAATTTCTGGCTAGATAGCAAGGAAACATCAGAACTTACTTCCACCTGACCAGAGCCTGGATACTGTGAAACATTCTTTTCATTATCTCCATGTTGAACTGTAGCAATTTGCTGGCTTTTATAGGAAGATTAATACTGGTACAGCATGCTTGGCGTACCTCATTACCAAAGATGTGTTCTGCAAAGATCAGTTCTCTGTTCTTTGCAGAAGAGACCCATTTGTTAGAAATTTTCTCATCGCCTATAATCTCCCACTGTGCAGCTATAGTCATGCCATGTTAAACAGAATCATGTTTCACTGTCAGACGCTAGCAAAGCAAACTTTCTTTGCAGTCTGAGCTTAGAGGTAGAACTTCTTGCCAGAAACCCACTAGGCTCCTCCTGAGTGTGGTAAGATTTCTATCTCAGTCAACCAAGCAGTAGCATTTGCACGCTGTATTCGTGCTTTCCTGATTTGAAGTTTGATTAAGAGGAAAGAAAAGTACATTTTGTTCTCTGCCTCTAGGTTTTCATATAGTGCTCGGACAGGAAAGAGACAGCTATTTCAAATACACACTTAGAGAGATTGTGTACATTGTTGCACATCTTAATGCAAATGTCTGTACAGTCCAGCATTAAAAGTCTAGAAATTACCATAGGCTTTAATGTGTGCTTATGAAACAAAACATATTACATATCTACATTAAACATACTAACTGACTCTCTGTAGGAGTATCTGATATATAAGCACTATGAATTGTTCTGAAAACGTGTTTAATCCAGGGATAAAAATTTCACAAGATATGAAGTTATCTGATTTTTCCAGTTTGCATTTCTCTCACCTAACTCTAGACTCCATTGTAGTCTGCAAAGACAGCGCGCACCCCTGGGGAACGAGGCATCCCTCTAAAGATAAGCATCTGATAGAATGGGCACGAATCACCCTCTGGAGGTACTGCTCTTTTTCCATGGGGTATACAAAGGAAACAGCAATGATGAGCTTAGGCAAGACCCTTGAATTTGACATGGGTAAAGTTAGATGAGGTTAGCTCCCAAAATACCTTCAGAAAACAATTAAACAATGACAACCCTTCCAATTTCAGTCAGACAGTCTGAAAGAGTCTTTTATTTGCCTGAAAATATTTGCCTATAAAATCTGAAGAAAAGTCACAAATTCCTTAAAGCAGAAAAAGGCACCTGGAAACCTGAACTTAGATTCCCAGTTGTCACTCTTTCTCTATGCCAAACTTAAAACAATAGTTATTTTTGAAGGCAGGATGTAGTTTTGTCTGAAATACTGTTTTAGTGGCCACGATATCTTGTGAAGAGATGGATTAATCCTAGTGTTACTCACAGGAAATCTATAGTGCATTCAGAATTTAGTACAGAATAAAACAGGTGCTGATAATTAGTAATGTCCTGTAGTCAAGAGGGGTACATGTTGTGATGTCCCCTCTCATACTGTCTTATTGAAGCTAAACTGTGGTAAGAACAAAATGAATTACGGAAGTTAGAACTGAATTCGATGACAAATTCAAGTTTGATTGACAAATAACAACTCTTCAGTGGAACTTTGGGATTAAATATTTGAACACAAGAAATAAAAATCTTGTGGTAACATAACATCCTCCGTCTGCATATTGTTTCGTCTTTTTAAAATATGTTATCTTTGCATTGCATTAATGTTTGTCATTGCATTTTACCATTTAAATTTTACTAAGTTTTGAAGGTTTATAAGGTTTTCATAGGTAAATAGGCCTGACGGTATTAAGTTTTATGCTTCAATGATATTGTCGAATACTTGCAGAATACCTTCAGAAAGTGACAACACCGAAACAGTCTTTGCTTATCCTTGTTATCTCCTGCACTTTAAACAGTGTTTCATGCTGTCATTTAGAAATGATTCAGGATACTTGAATTTTGGCTCCAGATCATCTTTCTCAAAGTCATGAACCTAGACTGCTTGGATAATTGAATTTTCTCTCTTAGGTTTGAACAGGAGGACATAAGGCATAAATCAGTCAAGTAATGTAATTTATCAGGTGTCACTGCTCCTTCTCTCTTATTTAGAGCTGTATTCCTTAGCTACAGGCTAGACTAGAAAATTATTACAAATATATATGCTTTATTAGAGCCTCTCTTTTAAGACAAATTAATTGAACTCGGCTGGCAATGTTGCAGTCTTCAAGAAGAATCAGGCCAATCAAAGTTCCATTACAGGCTTTTGCAAAGGCAGATTTTTAATCCTGTACTAGTCAGGGCAGGGGACTTCCATGTTAACATGTCTCTGAACAGGATTAATTTCTTGTGGAGTTATAAGACTATTCCAATTCAACCCAAAAGTTATAAAAAATACTTAGAAATTATGAAATCTTGGTTTAGTTCAGAATTATGTAACTTAATTAGACATTCTTTTTTTTGTTATACCTGCTTGCTAAGTATAATGGAATCAGTAAGCCAGTCAGCGAAAGTCGGCTGGCATACATCGCTTGTGGCTTTCCTGCGGCTGGACTCTGTATTACTCATCAGGACCCTCTGGGCCCAGTTGTTCAGCCAGTTTTCAATCCATCCCGCTTGCCACTTCTCTAGCCCGTACTTTGTTGACTTGTCTATCAGAAGGTTATGGGAGACAGTGTCAAAACCCTCACTAAAGTTGGGATAAGTAACATCCACTGTTCTCCCCTCATCATCTACCTAGTCACCTCATTGTAGACAGCTGTTCAAGGAATGTATACTATACCGTATTTCCAGACCGTAAACTGATCTTGTTATTTTTAACGTCATTAGTGTCATAATGTTAATTTTTTAATGTGCAGTTTCTGCCTGAAGAGAAAATTCTAAGAGCCCCTCTATGAACACTCTATGAATTGCTGTAAAACTGTGAAAAGACTGCTCCTTGTAATAAATTTTTTAATGCTTTGGAAAGAAGAAAACACAGGGGAACACTCGCTGCAGACCAAACTCCACACTGAAAAGATTCTTTAGAATATTCTTCTGTTTCAGAGCCAAAGTACCTCAGAGCTTTCCCTTAGAAGATTCCTCTTCCCACTCCCCAATTTAAATCACAAGAAATCTAATATCATAATGGCAGATAAGGTCACACATTTTCCTTAGGACCGAAAAAGCTACATCTGTCCTGCAAAAATGTCATCAGAACATCCTAGTATTGGTATGAAGTGTTGCAAACTGTAGTGTTTTATGAAGAACATGACTGGCAATCTGGTCCAATTAATAATTTTTTCATTGTTTGCATTGTTGTTCATTTAATAACTAGAATAAACTTAATGTGAAATTCAGGTATAAGAAAATACTATTATTTTGGACTCATAGCTCACTGTGTGCATGAGCTGGGCATTTCATGACCAAAGTGATACAAAATTGGGAAAAAAGGCTCTTAGTGAGCTGGAAAGTGGACCCATATTCATAATTCCCATACTGTTTCTCTGTACTTGCTCCCTTTTTGGATTTGAATGTATGTCATGTTTCTTGAAATGCTGCTTTTAATATCTGTGTAATAGAATCTGGCTCAGCAGGAGGGAAATAGTTACCCTCTGTAATCACTGAAAGGTTTTACCCATTTTTAGTCATTTTTATATTGCTGTTCTGCTGTTTTCTTATTAATTTCAGCAGTTTCTTATTACAAGTATTTTTGTGTCACTGCAGCATCATTCCAATATTGCCGGTTGTTATCAAGTGTTGAACAAAAATATGCAAAGCCTCATCTACTTTGGGATGATTGCAAATGTGCTTCTCAGGGCAGAACTTAAGCAGTATTCCTAACGCCATAACCGTGGGTAGAAATAGGGCATCATTGTTTCCATACTGGGCACCATGAATGAGGGGCTCCTCCGTACTGGTTGTGCAGAGTACTGGTCCTGCTCAGGCCAGGACTCCTGTTGGGCAGTCTCTTCCCAGTATTACCTGTAGCTGTTCCCAGTATGCGATTCAGTGCGTCTTCTGCTGCTTTAGCTCCATCTGATGCTCCCACAGTGCCTGTGCTCCTGGGTAGGGCATCAAACAATTTCTAAAGGGTAAAAGTTTGCGCTGCAGCCTAAGCTGCACACAACCCCCTGCGTTCCTCCACTGCTGATCCCACTCACCTGTACTTACATGAGCAGTGCTGAAGCTCTGGCATCGGCAGGCAGCCACGTCCTCTGCTCTTTGATGTACCATCCACGGGACCTTCTCTCGTCACAACCACTTAAATAAGCCCTTGTGATAGAAGCAGCAGTTTGTGGCCCATCGATCGTAGAGTTTCCAGCGATGCTGGCACTGGGGAAGGTGAACTGCTTTGGCAACGGGAGGAGATCCCAGTGGTGTTGCTGGAGGTGGTTAGTAGTGATGCTTCGAGGTAGTGCTACGGCTCAAGAGAGAGTTCGATGATGTGCTGAGTACGGTTGAGGGAGTCATCTTCCATGCAGGACCAAGCCTGAAAGTGACAAAGATACTCAGATTAACCGCAGATTATTAGAACTTCACCTGGGGCTACATCCAGGCATATTGGTTGTATGCTGTGAACAAGATGCTGTGTGTTGCCCTTTCACTGAGAAACAGTGGACTTCACTCTGCATCGCTGGTTTATCTCGTGCCTTTTCTCGGTACTAAACTCACTTAGAACAGATGCTTTCCACTTGCCAGGTAATTACTTTAACTAGGGAGTATTCTATCGTGCGTGCCTCCAAAACGCTGACTTCCATAGCTTGTATGTGGTTTAGAACACTTCAACTCAGTGGAAAATAAACTTTTAAAAATGTTTTTAAAGTGGCAAAACATTGCTCTTCAGAAAAGCGCAGTCTCACTAGACTTTATGGAATTACTGCTGTACGCGGTCTAAATTCTAAATCTGACTATGGTTAGGGTAAGCCCAGTGCCTTGCTTTCTAGGACGCCCGAGAGCCTCCGGGCACAGCAAGCCCTAGCGGAGGCAGGCTGGCTGCTCGGGTGAGCAGAGCCCAGCCATGGGACCAGGGAGCTGGCGCAGTGAGCGGGTGCAGGCACCTCAGTCCTCTCCGTTTCCTCTAAAACAGAGGCAATAATACCTACATAATGTATCTGGAGATTTTCTGATAATTCCCGTGCAAGAGAGAGAGAGGTTTTGTCGTCCTTAGGTGGAGTGAATTGACTTTAGTTCAGTCAGCGCAGCCGTAAAGCTTTAACTAAAGAGTTGGATCTGTCTTTGCTGTAGTTCTGTGCAAGTGATTATGAAATTTCTATTATGGAAGAGATCCTTGAGATGAAACTAGGGTTTGGATTGTGAGACTAAAGGACAAGGCCCTCTTGGCCATATTACTATTAGAAGCCTAGGAGTAAATTTGAAGAGGAAAAGGTTGTTTTGGAGTGAGATACTGGTTTAATTCAGTAATGGATTTTTTCAATCCTTGTTTTATTAGGGTTGTCCGGGGATTTCTTGCGTTCTGGACGATACTCTGCTCATACCATCAACGGTGCCTGGTCACCCTGGTCTCCGTGGTCTCAGTGCAGTCGTGACTGCAGCAGAGGAATACGGAATCGCAAACGGGTCTGCAGCAATCCCGAGCCCAAGTACGGGGGACTGCCTTGCCTTGGCCCATCTCTAGAGTACCAGGAATGCAACATTTTGCCTTGTCCAGGTAAGAGTCAAATGAAATGAGAGAAGTATGTGAAAATAAAATAACTCCTCTTCAAGGCTATATCTTGCAATAGTTGGTTTGTTTTGTCCTTTTTTCGGTCGGTGAGTTTGGGGTTTGGTTTGGGTTTTGAATAAACTACAGCTCAAATTTACCTTTATAATATAAGTGGATTTGGGTAAGATTCCCATGTGATGTCAATCGTTTTATCACCAACAGTATTAATAGCTATGTCTTTTTTTCAGTCGTGAGACTTTGACTGTAAAAATATCATTTCAATAAGTAAACTTATAAGAGGGAAAAGTCAAAAGAAATCTGGCAAGACATCAGAAACCAGGCATAGTCTTTATTTAAACTCAAAATACCATTTTCATCACAGTGATTGCTGGCATTAAATCTGTGCTAGCTTTTGTGTGTAGAGCCTCCAGCAAACAAGGTTCAGAAGTGATCACCAAACTAGATGGTAACTCAAGTAGGCCATAAAGATCATTCTTGGAATCTTGAGCTTCTCCTTCATGGAAAGTTGTTTTACGATTCTGTGAAAAAGATTACAAATAGAATATAGGTCTTCAAGAAACTAGTTTGGGTTATAAATCATTGTTGTATCTTAGACATTTGGGGGAAAAAAATATCTTGGTTTGTCACCTCTCGCCCCTCATAAAACAGACATCCAAATTCAAAGGCTTTTGAGCTTTGCAGAGGCTTTGTGGAATAAAGAAAGGGGAAAGATATAGGAGAACACATGAAGAAAAGAAAATGCAATTGGAGTAGGAGGAAAGAATTCAAGGTAAGAAACAATAGAGAGGAGGAAGAAGAATGAATGAGAGACTCAGTTCTTTCCAGTATCAACAAGTAAATTTAGAAATAAGCTTTCATACATCTTCAATTGTATTAATTATGTATAACAGTGCTGCGTATTTTATTGTTGAAGACTTGGAGCTTTTGGCATTTATTCAAGTGCGGATCTGAAGGATTACTATGGCAATATCCATATTACGTATGTATATTACTATAGTAAAACATACATCTGCGTGTGTATTTATCTATGGCTATATGTATCTATATGGTTCCAAGTTAAAACTGTGTATATTAATGCGTTAGGTCAAAGGTTTAGGAGACCGTTGTACTAACATGTGCCAGCCTCCCCAGGGATGCATGCAGTAGGTGAAGCAAGCTAGAATGCAGCAGCACCTCTTCAGGTCCTTCCCCCCCTCCAGGAGACGCTGCCTCGGCTTCTTTGAAGCAGGCGAGCGGTGTGGTACGAGCTAACAGCTCTGCTCACAAGCTTTCAGATATCCGATTGTGTCACCACAGTGTAGTAACTGAAGTACCTTCCTTAAATGGGCCCAGAGGATCTACAAAACAGGGCCAGGTTTGCTGTTCATCCCTTGCTGTTGATTCTTAAATTAAGTGCTGTCTTGAATTTTGTTGGAGTTTTTCAAAGTTAAAATAAGTTAAAGGTTTTCAGAAGTGGTATTTTTAATTAGCTCTGCAGCTTGTACGCTGTTACGTTTTTTTGAAGGAAGCTCTTACAACCAGTAAAACACATAGTTATGCAGATGTAAGTTTGATGCAGAGGCCCTTGTTGTTTATGAGATAGCCAATACCCCGAACTAAAATACATGGAGTTGTAAGGCAGAACTTGAAATTGTGCTTTATATAAAAATTATTCCCTCTTCTGCTGTCTCTGAATTTGAAGATATTTTTAAAGATCACTTGGTTTAAAGTGGGGTGGGCCTTTCTGAAGCGAGAAGGGGTGTCCTAATGTATCTAATAACTTTCTTCAGAGGCAAGTTTCATTTTTCTTTTTAGTGCAAAGCAAATTTGAATAAAGATGTAGAGCTTGAATGAAGTATTTAGATGTATGATAGCCTGCAAGGAATCACAAAGTTCCTCAGCTACAGAACTACGTTTGCCAGTAATTAAGAAGAAATGTAAGGGGCTAAGTCAGTTCCCAGATAAATCTGAAGGGAAAACATTGCAAGCAGTAGATGTAATTGATTATTTTTTTTTCTTTAAGACATGGGAGAGTAAAAAATGATTGCAGAATAAGGCTTATCCATAAATTAGACCTGATTATAAATTTGTGGAAAGGGAATAAACTTTTATTAGGGAAGCATACTAATGAAAGTCACAGAAAGCTAAATTGGTGGGTAAACACAAACATCTATTAGGTTGACATTCATGAGACCTCATCAGGAAAGGGGAGACATAAATAGTATATGGGTGAAAAGCCTTAGCTCCAGGCCCATGCGTACAAACCTGGCAGACCCCACAGCAGGGGCGCAGAGGAGAGCAGCCAGTAATAAAATGGTTGGAGCAATTTTCAGCCTCCTTGTTAACCACTCTGTGAGGGACTGGATTTCATTTCCTGGGTGCTTATCTTTAGGACAGCTATATAAACTCATTCTTACTCTCTGCATAGTTCATTCTTGCCCAGGTAAATAAATGAGGTGCAGACAGAAAGGCTAAGGAACGTGAGATTTTTGTTCTGACCTCGACCCGAAAGTAATGGCCATAGTACCAGAAATAAAAATGCATCAGAGAAGCATCTGGTGCTTTCTAAGATTTACCTGAGCTCCCTCGGGAGGAGGACAGCTTCACCTGCTCCCTGCTGACACCGAGCCATTTAGTTACAGGCCAGTCATCAGCCTTTCAGAAATATTCGGAGGAGGAGGAAGGGGTGAGATGACAGCCATAAACCTTCCTGCTAGTGCAGACTCCGGTTCTGCTTTGCTCCCTGTTCTGCTAATTGCGGGCAAGATCAACCCCTTACGATGTAAACTGCTGAGAAAGATTAGCAACAGAGAAATACACTGAGTGTGCTTAAGTCATGCTGGAAGTCAATAGTACTTTATGCTTCTAAATCAGTTAATCTGGGCTCGGTGTCATCCTGCAAGATGCTAATTGCTCTGAAGGACTGACACAGTGAAAAAGCCTATGGAGCAATCACTGAGTGTGTAAGGCTCTCTTGTCTGGTTAAGTGTCTTGCAGCATCCCTTTAAATATACTTATCAATATATTAATAGCTAGTAAGTTATGGTTAAATGTGCTGCAGGATCCCAGAACTTTAAAAAAATACTGAACCCATCTAGAACGTGCCTTCAGCAGCTGCTATTAAATCTTTCTTGAGCCTTCAGAGGAGAGAGAAACAGTGACATTTTTCCCACAGCTTGTAGCAAAGTAAATGGTCCACTGACATGCGGATTGATAGCAGTCACTGGACAGATTACTTTTTGTTCACAGTATTTGAAGGCTGAATATATAATAGTAAATTGAACAGTGCCAGAAAATTGCCAGAAATTGCACCCAGGCCCAGGAATATGATTTGTCTGTATTGTACAAGTTTTAGACTGATCCCTCGTACAATTTTGCCTTTGACTAACTAGCACTCTCCCAAATAATCTGCAGAAGTAGTTTGGGAGCCAGTGTAGGGTAAGGCCTGTTCCCAGTCCTCAGTTTCCCTGTGGCCAAATGGCTTTGAGGGGCAGGAGGATTTGCACTGTTGTCTTGCACTAGCAAATGATGCTTTGGCCCCGTGCCTCAGCTCCTTTTTATGGCTCAGAGGTGTGGTGAATAGAGTTTTGCTGCAAGCACTGAGCAGCCTCAATAACTTTGGAAAGGATCTGTGGATGCTCACGGACAATTCTGTTTCCTTTGAGTTACTAATATGGGGTCAATATGAAAAGAAAGGAATCTGTAATCAGACGTATTAGGGTTTTGTTTTCCTTGGGGGCTTGTGAGATATTTACATTGCAAAGAGAAATGGATGGTGAAGGGAAGCATTGTTTGAATGGTAAATTCTGCAAATTTACAAAAAAATTACAGGAATTTACTAACTAAACTATTTGTTTGCCTGAAAATAATAACCAAACGTAAGGAATTCTGTCCTAGTTCACAATATGACACAGCTCTTATTACTGTAGGAAAAAACAACTTTTTCATCATTTTTGTCTTGTTTTGTTTCTTTTTGCCTTCTCTTTTATTCTTCTGCACAGAGGGACACTTGGCTGATGTGCCTTAATTAGGAGTTTAAAGCAAGGCTACATGAGCACCATTGCGTAGCACGAGCTACAGGAGTTCCTGTTCCCTCTTCTCCTCCACACATAGTGGTGGATCAGAGGGAAAGGACAGCTGCTGTCTCTTAGATTTGAAATCCTGATACTTCATGACAATATTTTGGGATTTTACTGGTTTCAAATTTGTATTATAGTAGTTTAGTTTGGTTTCATTACAACATTTTAGCCGAGAAGAACTGAATAAATTCATATATCGCTAAACGTGCTAATAACAATAAAGAGTTTCAGATATACAAAACTCCCTGAAAGACTGTTTAAGTTATTTATGCATCCTCTAAAGCCAGTTATTGCTTGTTGGGTTTTTTCTTCGTTATTGCTTTTTTTTTTTCCTCCTATTTTTTTTTTCCTTGCAGTCATACTTGGCCACAAGGAAACAGGGATACATTTAAAGGAACAGAGAAAATTTATCCTGCAGTAACTTCCTAATCAGGGGGAAAAACTTACGCCAATCCAATCAGGCTTGTCTCTGAGGCTGCCGAAGCCCATCTCTCCACATGCACTGATCTCACTAGGCTGCTTCTGTAGCCAGCGAGGAGAGGGCTGAACTGCCCTTTGGAAGCAACTGTTGCTTTTCTAACTTAAGAGTCTCAGTTACAGGCTTAAACCCGGGTCGATCCTTAGATTTTGTTGTTGTACTTTCCTTAGAAGCATGCATTTGCCTTCTGCGTTTCTGCACTGCACTATGTTGACTGTTTCATCCAGCATTGCTTTTATCAGTAAAAGGTATCTGTAGCATCACAGCAACAAGAGTTTGCCTTTGCAAACTATGGTGTAAAAATTGCTCTTTCCCGCACTGAAACATGCAGCAATACCCCGCAGGATTAGGAAAAAGCAGTAGACTGAGTGATGTGGAGTGGGATGATCCCCAGGTGCCTGGAAGGGAGCAGTACTCTCCTGGGGCTGTAGGCTGCCCAGCACCCAGTGCCCCTGGGTTTAACTTTTACTGGGAACCACACCGCCGGCGTTTCCGCGCGTGGAAGGGACTGCTGCCCCTCTCTTTGCGCTCTTTCTTGCACGTACAAAAGACTGACCTCTCAGCATTTTTATTCTCTTTTGCTACACTTTCAAAAAGATGAACGTGAAAAGTTATAAACCTAAAGGCATATACCAAAAAACCTGAAGATTTTGTTGTTGTTGTTGTTGTTGTTTAAATTTGAAGTGAGACCAGACAGTATGTGAAAGAGCCTGCAATCCCATCTGAGTTCTCATGAAAGCAGGTGAGGTCAGCGTGTCTGCCCACGCTTCCTTCCACTTCCTTGTAAAACCCAAAGTGCATAGCAGGGTGTCCAGTTTACTTAATTGTCTCTCAGAAAGTCTCCAGTAGTGTGGATGTTTTGTCATGTCCCCAGGAGATCCTGTTTCTGTACACTGTTTCTCCCTAGTACATCCTCTTCCCTATGGCTTTTTTTTTTATCATTATAGTGAAGAAATATTTATTAACCACAACAGCCAGTAGGCAAAAAGTTGTTTGCTTTGCTATAAAGGAAAGTGCATTGTTTGAGAGCACCCTGCTAGCTGAAGGATGCCTTCTTCCAAAAGGGACCAACCTCAGTAATTGTCAGAAAACGTAAAGACTCTTTATAGCTTTCACTGTGGAACTGCTTTAACGACTTCCTTTTGTCCAACAGCTCTACAAAACCGTTATGTAAAGAAACTGTAGTGACTGGAACTTTCCTTGCAGCTGTGTATTTTGCCTCCTATAAGAAGCAGAAATAACATAAAGGACTCCATGACAAAAGGAAAAAAAAAAAACAAACCCAGATGGTGCTGTGTGGCTAAGCAACTTTAAAGAAAGATGAAAGAAACCACAGAGCTCTCTTTAGGTCTTGTAAAAACTCAAGCAGTAAATACCCACTCCTTTGATCTTATTTAACCATGATGATGCTTTATCATCCTCTGTTGCTGAGAAGGAAGAGTTCTGGGGACAAAGAAAAGAGGCAGTTATGATAGTCCTTGAAAGGCCTAGAGATTTAGGATGGCAGCCTGTCAGTAAATAGTTGCTAAGAAAAAGTTATAATTACACTGTCCAGCTCAGCCATGATCGAATCTAACATTGCCTGTTGTATTACGTCTGTCCTTTCCCATCTTCCTCAGACCCACTTCTCCCTTTACATCCGAAGCCCTATAGTCCAGCCGTGATCACTGCAGTTGTGGCGCACGGTGACGTTCCTGGATGTCACATCGGTCTCTGCGTTCTCGGCCACCTATAGATAGATGGCAGATGGCAGTTTCAAATGCATGTGCATTTGTAATTCTCATTCTGGTCCATTGAAAAATAAGTAGAAAGTGTTGGGGATCACTGTCTCCATTCCAGTGAACAAGCCCCGGGTAACGTTTGCAGACAATTTATCTCTTGTCTAGGCAATCTCAGGCTGTCATTCTGTTTCATGGAGGTTCACAACACTGCAGCAGGAATGCCTCTGATTATTCATTTGAGCTAGACGAGGATGGTTTTAAAATAAAAAAAAAAAAAAAAAAAGAAAAAAGGGAATATCTGGAAAGGTAAAACCTTAATATCACATGAAATAAATAGCTTGGGTAACAGCTTCTGCTTTTATTTGACTTTTTTTTTTTTTTTTAAAAAAGGCAAGTTTTGAATAAAAGATACCATGTCCTGAAATTGTTATAAAATTGCATAGTATGTTCCACCTGCACTGAAGACAAATGACGTGTGGCTTTCTTAGCTATGAGCTTGCATAATACTACATTAAAAGAGTCATCTCGGGCAAAAAGACATATTTGTTTTCCAGTGACTATATGAATAAGAGAACAAGTCAAGCACTCTACTGAGATGCAGTATTTATTTATGATAGGTGGTATAAAACTCTCATACATCTGTATAGCTAGATGATTTGGCTGATAAATATATCCTGGAAAAAATGTAGCGATCATTGAATTCCTTAATAATGGAAATAATTTCTTTAAATGACATACTAGGAATACAGTCCCAGATTCCACGAATCCTGCCTGTCCAATCAGGGTGTTCAGAGGCCAGATACATTACTTGCAAAAGTTTTTACAACTATTGTTCTTAGCAAGGAAGTGCCAACTCCATGCTTTCCTGATTCATAGCGTAATGTTGCAAACGATACAGAGAATAAAATGTTAAATATTCCACAACTTCACTCACAGGATTAGTGTAATAGCCTTAGGTATGCACTAGTGAATTACCTGTTTGATTAGCAGTTGAGAACCTGAAGGAATGCTGTATCTGAAATTACATTCAAAAATGCACGTATAGGTTTTAATGTCAAAATAACCACATCCTTCTAGCTTATTTTCTCACTGTTGCAGCTTTTACATAGAAATCATTCTACTCTACTCACCAAGTGCATTTGTGGTATACAATGCTACCAAAACAAAAAGAGGGGTTTTTTAGTGTTTTACATCTCCATCTAAGAGAGAATTTAAATGCAAATACTGCAGATATTTTCAATGTAAGTTAATTTTTTTCAGATTTGGAACCTCTTCTTTTTTGGTAGGAGATAAGTATGGAATAGCATTTCAATAAACCAGTGGAAACTCATTTACTCTTTGAAAGGCTGTTTGATTAAATGAACAGAAAGGATCAAAAGGACTCATTGTGAAATGCTGGATGAATGTTTTGGAGACTTCAGTGACAATCAATTGTTTCAATAAACCATGAAGTAACATCTTACAAGAAATGTCTTAAATGAGCACATTGTTAAAATTGTGTAGTGAAAATGTGTGCTTACCTAGTATTTTTAAAAGTAGACAATAATGAGTTTCTATCTTGTGTGGTAAAATGCTCACTGCTGCTGTGAGTGATGGGAGAAAAAAAAAGGCAAAACTTCTGCTCAGTTTAGGGCCCTGTCGTAAACCAAAACTTTACTGGCACGTTGCCTTTATTATACTTAGGGTCACATCTACTAGAGTCAGTTGAATTACACACTATTTCTTTTAATCAGTTGCAGACACGGTAAATCATTTCCTTGCTTAAGTATTAAGAAAGCAAGTGATAACACTTTAAATAGAGGTTTGAAAAGAAATTAATTTTTTGTAGGATATGAGAATTTTGAAAGTTTAGGGGTTTGTTGCTTTTTTCCCCCCCAAAAAACCTGGAAGAGAAATGAACAAAACACTGAGATTCTTTGCAGACGGAATGCTGTCCCTGGGAGATGTACATCTGACTTTGTCATGTGACTGCAGATAGGAAGCCTTTGGCAGATGGGCTGCAATATGGCCATAAGTGCCAGAAATACATCCTGGAGCAGGAGCTGTAAGAACGGAGGCTGCAAAGGAGCCAGTCCGGTGGAGGCAGCGAGGTGAACTTTCATTAGACGCCTCTCTAGTGGCCATGTGTCAAAAACCATCTGACAAATGGGTCTCCCGTGAAATCCAGCCTACCTTTCAGAGGAACCTTGTGAAAACTTGGACTGGAGAACAGTTTGACATACTTGAATTAGTAAATACTAATGCGGGAAAAAAAAAATTAAATTTATTCTTCAACAACCTGTGTTTGAAACTTTTAAGTGGCAACTGCTTTTGGTCATTTGTCTGTTGCTTTTTTGAACTACTGCCATTGTTCTGCTGTTGGCATCTGTGCTAGAGCCGCTTGAAGGTTGTAACATTATATTGGCCCATCAAACCCTACAACTGTGTTAGATCAACTGAAATGGGTTGTAGAGTTAAGGCAATCTTACCTGGGTTGTGAAACAAAATCTGGATTCCTCCGTCTCTCTGTTGATATTATTGGGCTAAGTTTTATTTTATGAATAAAAAATTGCTTTGAGCATACAATACTTCTGCTAAACAAACTTTGGTATTTTATTTCCTCACAGGTGAGAAAAGAAAAAGAAAAGAGTTTTGGCCTTAAAGACATTATGGTACCCACTGAAAGTGTCTTATATGGATGAGTAACTTTGTTAGGCTTCCCAGTACACCAAGGGCTTTTAAAATATGCAAATTAGATTGCATTGTGATAAGATTAAATTTGTGGGCTTATGTTCAGTGGCACCTAAAAACGTCCAATAATTTCAGTGGGCTGTGAATTAGATCCACAGAATATGAGAAAGATGGGTTGGATTATGTGACGTAACACATTAACTTGGAACAATATGACGTTTTGTGTCTTTTCAGTGGACGGAGGCTGGTCTTGTTGGTCATCTTGGTCAAAGTGCTCGGCCACTTGTGGAGGAGGGCATTACATGAGAACCCGCTCCTGCACAAACCCAGCACCAGCCTACGGAGGAGATATCTGCCTCGGACTGCACACTGAAGAAGCGCTCTGCAACACACAGCCCTGTCCAGGTACGGCCCATCAGCCCACACAGCTTTGTTGTTTACATGCCACAGAGCAAGGCACTCACAGTCAGGCAACATAATGCTCCTTGATCTGTTAGGTAGGAGCAAATCATTTCTCTCCCTTATTAAGTGCACACTCAGCTCTTACGTGCTACAATCACAGTAAATCAAGTAATAGCAGGATATAGCCTACGGGACACCATGTCCTCCCTCCCCCTTTAAAAATTAAAATTTAAGTTACCAGGTTCTGGGTCTGGATAAACTAAAATTGTACAATATTTGAAGTGGAGCATGCAAACTTCCTGGAAGACTTTTAATAACAGTATCACAAAGAAGTGCATTTGTTATAATGCTAAACATTCACAGCAGGCAAATAGCTGAGGTTAATATTCAATGTGTATTATCACAAGGTCCTTCAAGTAGATAATGTTTGCCCTGTTTTCATATAAAATACGGAGCAAACTTTAATGCTCTTTGTAAAATACCTTCTTCAACTTTGGATGTTAAGGAGCAGAGACTTCATCTTATTGAATGACTGTGGAGTACTTAGTAAATGAAATGTCTCAGCACTCTTCCTAGCTGTATATTAGGGATCATGACTTTTTCTGTAACTTTTACTCTGCCTTTTGACCCACATTAAAGGAAAACTCATTTTCTTCGTGAAATTTAAGTGAGAAGTAGAGAGTAAAACCACATAAAACCAGATAAAATCATTAGTGAAAAGCCAGTTGGAGGATTTGTTTTCTTATACTGCTGATTAATGGATTACAGGCAGCAGCAAAAGGAAATAAGCAGCACTGATGCCACACTGTATTACTTGCTTCACTTAGAACTCCTAGACTTCATAGCAAAAGTTTTCTGCTCATATGATGAGGCTGTGCATGTGAAGGCACAAGCCCCATGAGTTTGAATTTATGGATCCTATTACCTGTGCTGAACTACGGTTTAAGTTAATTTCCTCTTCTAGGCACTGCATGTCTTGCAGCAGAATAGAAGTACCTCCTTTGTCAAAATTAAAGCAGATGCAACACTCTCTATTGTGTTTTTAAAAAACCCCAAACATAGAAAGCAGTTGATGATTTGATTTTTCAAGACAAATAGTGTACATTTGTACGTAGAAGTTACATAGCTGCCTTGGGATCCTTAAGGCATCTTTAAAAGGTCAGAACTGGCGTGTTCATTGTGCTAGTATTGTAGCTATTTCTCTTGTTGCGCATTTATTTTCTACCACCATTTTTCTAGAAATGCCAGTTTGCAAACATTTCTAAATAATCTCTTCATCTTATTTTAACCTCCTTGCTACCCAAATTTTGGAGTAGATGGGGAGTGGAGGAGGAGGTCAGTTTCATTTTGGTTCAAGAAAGTGAAAACCTTTATAAAGCAATAAAATTTCAGAGGGTGAAGTGTATTCCTCACATTCTGTGATGTTTTATTAGTATTTCAATCTCGCTGAAAATTTGCCATAGGTTTTTCAGACAGCATCATCAACTAGCTGTAAGATGTAGATTTCAAAACTTTTTTTTTACTGCTCTTACTTCACATTGGGCTGAGACAAAAATATCTGCAGTGCTACACATGTTAAGCTTGGACAGAATCCTGCAGCCCTGCAGAGGCATTTTCTTGTGGTGAGGATCATGTGGCCAGTGGTTCTTCCTTGTGCGGATCTGGAATTACCACTGGTGACATTCACTGCTTCAGTGACATGTTTAATATTGGAAGAGAACAGCAGTGACACTTGGAATGTAAGAACAACCAGCCAACACAGAAATATGTATACAAAAATGGAAACTATTTATAATGTTTCTTAAGTTGTGAAAAGAGCAAAGATTTCTTGGCATTTGGAATAGTGCTTTTTTTTTGGCCAAACAAAACCAGCAGGAAACTAAAATTTCTGGAATCCTGATACTAAGGATTTCTTGAGGATATGAAAGGTTAATGGCAAATCCAACTGGAAGTATGCAAGTATGCACTTAAAGTAACAGACTTGTGTGTGCAAAATACATCAGTTTTTCTCATCTTTCATTTTAACAGCTATATCACTGTGTTTGTGGTTTAATTTATCCAAATGCAACTGCATTAACGTGAATGAAAGCGCTGCACTATTGATCAGTAGTGGTTTATAGGCTGCTTATCAGTGAGTGTAATCGGTTGCAACGGTGTCTGTAATGTACTGAATAAACCAGTATTTTATACCTAAAGTATTTACTGCTGCTGTAAGAGGCGAAAATATAATCTGTCCTTGAGTTGCTAACTCACACATGCAAATAATGGATAAAGCAGTTGAGCATTTAGAAATGATGGTGTAGTTCTGCATGAAAGAAATTTATAATCCTACAGACTGGTGGCCTGATCTTTCTGAGGTGCCTTCTTCACCAAGGGATCTTTCAGGAACTGCTTGGACTTAACCTGGCTTCAAAGGCCAGCCAAGACTCTGTAGGAAGAAGACATGACATTTGAGTAAGCCTTGCCGTGTTAGAGGAGAAAAGCAGTTCTGGATTAAACACCTCTCCAGTCCACCCTCTCTTCTCCATTCTCCTGACTTTTGCAAAGAACTGAGGAGCAAGTTGAGAGGAGCCTGCCTGAGGTGCAAGAGAGCCTCAGGTGCTTTGAAGATAAAGAAATCAAAGGGGTGAGGCAGGATGACTGAGTCTGCGGAAGTGCATGCAAAAGCCATGGGTTCAGGTTCTCTGTGACGGCGGAGATAGCGGCTCCACGAAGGGCTCCACGAAGGGCAGGACTGCCGGTTGGTCTGCTGGTGCCTTGCGTCTGCCTGACTCTCGGAGCTCCCAACAGTGGCACTCCCCAAAACACAGGTTTGGTACCAGGATCCACCGTTGCAGGGATGTCCATCCCTCTCACGCTTGCAGTGATGTCCTCTCTCTCCCCTCCTGTGGTTCTGTGTGCCAGATGGAGCGGATCAGCACAGCACCAGACCCACTGACTGCCCGGGCTGTAGAGGGACCCCAGAAGGGCGAGAGATGCCCTGTGTTCCGTATGTGGGAAGCTCCCAACGCACACAGTGTCTTTTATAGGACCCCAAAAGGGCAGGCTGAAACGGCAGCCTTGCCCAGTCACCCATGTGTGACCTGGCATGATCCGTGCGTGCTCTGAGGTTCCTATTTTATCACGGGATGTAGCCCCTTCAGCAAGGAACCTGGTGGCCCAAAAGCACAGCGGACGAGACGGGGCTGCAGAGCGCACCAGCCAACAAGCTGCATTTAGGGCGCTCGCGAGCGGTTTGGCTGCTGCTGCATATATCCCGATTATACCAGCATCGGGGGAGAGGACTGGCTCTGGCTTAAGCGTGTTCTCTGCCACCGATGAGAACTGGGCCAGGATTTGTAACGAGCAGCATTCCTTTAAACCTGAATGAGCAGGGCCTTATTGTTACTAAATACTTCAGGTAAGGATCCGTGTCCTTAGTTCACTTGGGTGCAGCAGCTGACACTGGCGGTGACAGCGGCAGCTCCTGCATGTCCCACACTGTACGAGCAGGAAGAAGGCTCTCTGTTTGCTTGACTCCCACCTCAGCTCTCCTGCCCCCTGAATTAGGATCCAACTACTTATGTCATCTGCCTCCATGCTCCTACCACCCACTCTGGAAATGAGGCCCTCCCAGGACCTCTCCTAGGAAACAGGAGAGCTGACGGACAAAGCTGAGGATTCTTGCTCCTCACGATGACGAGATCCTACTGTTTGACATCAGCTGCTTGTGTCGAGGTATCTGCCCTGGTGTTCAAAGGAGGCCCCATCCAGACAGGTGCTAATTGTTCATAAATATCAATATCCGGGTTCTTACCTGAGCTGCTGAGTAAATCTATTTTACGAACAGCTCCACAAGTGACGGTGCGCATCCGGACCACAGACCGCTAGGACTGATGGCTGCTGCCTCTAAGCAGCTCTCTCCTGCTGTCTCGAAACGGTCCCAGGACCACTGCTTGAGATCCTCTGTTATGCTAAAGTTACGTCAGTCTCCTCCGTCCATCTCTTTTTACCGTGCTACTGGTTAGGAAGTGCATGTCCAACACCATCATGGAAAGAATCTATGGCTTGACTTTTTTCAAGACTGCAATCTCAAGTATTCCTGCCAGAATCTGTTAAATTTTAGATGGCTGAGAGTTTTATTATTTTCCTCTATGGCCAAGGGGAAAGGAATGAGTAAATATGAACCCTGTATGCTGGATTTATACAATGTATTGAAAAGGGCCCAAAACAGTGTAAGACTTTACTGACTTTCCACCTGATTCACAAAAAGTGTACAAAAGCTTCATTAATTTTCCAAATTATTCACAAATTTTAATGTTCTTCAATCTAACTTGAAACAAAATCAGGTTAATGTATACTTTTTTATTTGAAGCAAAATGGAATTTCTAAATTGGGTTCATATTGGTATAAAATCAATTAAAATTTTGAAGTAGAAACAAACTTGGTTTGGGACAGTAGGACTGTTCGTTCCATATCAAAGCCATAAAACCTATCTCAGTGGGAAAGCTGACAGAAGAAAGAAGAAAGTTTAACTGAGCTCTGTCTTTAGTATACTTGCCAAACTCAGGACACCCCTATGAAGGCAGAATTGTGCTTGAATTTTAAGAAAGCTGAGCTCAGTAAACTCACAGGACCTCATGGGAATGAGATCAATTCACTTCATTTAAGGGAAGTATGCTGAGGTCACACAGGCATAAAATAAAAATGTCTTAATCAAAACTACATAGGCAGAGAAAGAAATACAAAGAAACAATAGAAGCTGATAATGAACTGAATGGAGAAGAGAAGGCGAGAATACTTGATGAGGTCGCTTCTATCCACAGCAAAGAAGTGGACAAAAGCTAAAAAAAAAAAGAAAAAAGAAAAAAAAGTATCTGCAAGATACAACTAGTTTTGTGGTTAAATAAACATCCTGTTCCAGACCTGGAATACATACTCTTGCAGCTCTTACTGCTGCTTGTCAGGTACGTAAAAAAAACCAGTGCCATTGTCCACCCTAATGACCTAGACTGGAATTAACTCCACAGTAATCGCTCGTTCAGTCACCACCACAGAATCCCTCCGGCCTCTCACTTCCACACTCGCAGGCCGTGGCAGAAGCCCAAGCCATGATATGTCTGCGACAAATTTACCATCACACTCTACATTCCAGAGACTTTTGCCAAAGCCGAACTGCCTTTGTTTTATCGTAATGGAAGGGCTGTCCTCTGCTGGCTGGGGATGAGTCCTCCTGTCCTAGTTCAGAAATACAGACTATTTCTCTCGCGCTCGGTGTACCTGAAGCGTTTAACGGCAGCGTCTGCCTGTGTGTCCCTCTCTGCCCGTTGCAGACAGCTGGTCCGAGTGGTCCGAGTGGTCCGACTGCGACTCCTCCGGCTTCCAGTTCCGCGTCCGTCAGTGCATCATTTTGTTCCCCGTGGGCAGCCAGTGCACGGGCAACACCACAGAGAGCCGAGCCTGTGCTTTGGACTCCAACTTTATACCAGGTGAGCTCAGCCTGCTCCTTGAAGGATCGGCGAAACCTCCCAACGTTTCAGGAGCGAGGCGCGGTACCGTCCCAGGCTGCGCTGTGCAGCGCCGAGGGCTGGAACAGAGCTTGCCCTTGGCAGCCAAAGCGCGTTGGTCTGTTTGCGTAGGGCTGATGTTGCTCGATCTTCTGTCAAGTAACTAGTGATAGGATGAGGGGAAATGGCCTCAAGTTGCGGCAGGGGAGGTTTAGGTTGGATATTAGAAAAAATTCCTTCACCGAAAGGGTTATCAGGCACTGGAACAGGCTGCCCAGGGATGTGGTGGAGTCACCATCCCTGAAGGCGTTCAAAAAACGCGTAGACATGGCACTTCAGGACAGGGTGTAGTGGTCATGGTGGTGTTGGGTTGACGGTTGGACTCGATGACCTTAAAGGTCTTTTCCAACCTAAACGATTCTACGATTCTGTGATCTGGTGTCTCCATGAAAAACTGCCTCAGGCGCGGAGCGCTGTGGAGCTGCCCCTCCTGTCACCACCCGGGACTTCGGTCAGTCGCCGTCCCAGCATTCTGCAGGTCCCTCCCGTCCTACGTGGTGGCGGGGTGCAGGGATGACTACAGCCAGCTAGGAGAAATAGTTTGCTTTTTACTTTAATGTAAGTGTTTTTGAGACTTTCGGGTTATTAGAGAAACATTCCTCTAGGTTTTGTGGTTTGCATATACAAAAGTGGGTGCTGTGGTAGTTAATCTGGAAATCATTTCACAGAGTCCCTTAAATTAATAACTGCTTAGAAAGGTACATACTATGCCTCAGGTCCTTGTGTCCCCCATGACCACCAAGTACCTGGTGGATAGTCATGTCATGTATTATTCTATAGCATTTGTCGAAACTCATGACTGTACTCTTTTTTATTATTATTTCTTTTTTAAAACACAGCAGTCATTTAAATCCACACAACAGTATGGGTGGCCACATTGCATTGCTGCTAACAGTTATCTTTCCGCCTGTGTACATTTAAAAAAGCTAGCAGTCTATTCACAGACAGAGAAATGTACATTTTATTGTGTCATTTGAAATGTAATTATGTTTACTCAGTGCAGCAACGTTTTTTTTCCCCGTGACTATGCGGTACAATATAGTACAATATAACAAAGAAATCAACAAATGTAAATACTTTTGTGGATGGTGCATAATGCTTTAACTCCCAAATACTATTTTTTCCTCCAAAACCAATGCAAAAAATGTCAGTCTGAAAGCAAAAACTCCCACATTGTATTTTCCCCTTTTTCTCAGGCTTTCGAAGCAGCTCCGTTAAAGTTCACATTCTGTGAATCCGCTTAATGCAATAGAAGCTCTACATCTTGTTTTGGAACGTAGGCACTTTCAGAATCTGAAACGAGCCACCTCTTCTCTCGCCCTTCTGGTTGGTTTGCCACTCCTCCTCAAACCACCCCTATCCCAGCAGATAAGCTCATGCCCGTTACGCTCACCTTCGGCAAACTACCTTGCTCTCTTGGGCTCGGCTCGCTTTCCCTCCTCCGGGTGCCCCGAGTCGCGGTTCTCCCCCTCGCTCCCTCCTGCCCTCTCTGTCTCCTTCGCCGCCCTCCTGTCCTCACCCACGTGGCGTCTCCTCCTGCTTACCTTAGCGCCGTTCCTCTCCAGAACTCACTGCACCGAGTGGTTCTGGCAGAGCGCAGAAGCGACTCCTCCTTGTCCTTGCTGCTCCTGTGTTTCCGTAGTCCTTACCAGCATTACCTTGCAGAGCTTTGCGGGTTTCTGGTACCTTTTTTTCTGCTTTTTGTTTGGGTTGTGAATTAACAGTCTCAACCAAAGTATGCTCTCAGCTTTTAACTCTCTGTGAGAGTGTTTTTCTGCCAGGTCTGATACTTTCTCACTTAGATAATAGTTGTTATTGATTTAGCATGTGAAGAAAGGTAAAAAATTGTGATCCCTTTAGCAGTAGCTGCGTTTGGATCACCTTTTGGTGGGTCAGTGGAGAGCCTGCTCTGTTAATTCCTCACACAGAAGCTACAGCATACCTGCGGGCATCATTGCTGCCCTTCTCTGGTCTGATTTTTAGTTCTACTAGAGACATCCTTAGATGGGAAGAGCTGCATGCAGTGTTCATGCTGTGGACAACGCATAGATTTGTAAAGTGCCATAATGCTGATTACCCTGTCCTACTCACTGTTGCTTTCTTGGTAGTACCTAGCGTTTGGTTTGCCTTTTGATTGTTTCTGAACACTAAGCCGATATTTTCATGGAACAATTTGTCATAACCCCCGGTGTCCCTCTTCAGTAGTCATAGTCACCTCACAGCCCATCATTTTATATGTGAAGCTAGGATTGCTTTCCACTGTATGTATCGCTTTACACTGATCTGCATTCGGTTTCATTTGTTATTTTATTGCCTAGTTTTATAAGGCCCTTCTGCAGCTCTTCACAGCATGCCCTTGTCCACGCTACCTTAACTTTGTATCATCAGCAAACTTCAAAACCACATTTGCCTCCCACATTTCTAGCTCTTTGCTGGAAAGCCTAGGTCCCTGCAGAAGTGGTAACCTTCCTCCATTCTAAGAACCGGGCACATAGTACTACCCTGTTTTCTATTTTTTCCTTCATCTCATTTGTTGCTTGGAAAGCCGTCAACAAAGAACTTGAAAGTTTTTTTGAAATCCAGGTAGACCGTGTCAGTTCCCTCCCCCATAATCCACATGCTCGGTGACCCTTTTGGAGAGGTCCAAGAGATCTGTAAGGCAGGACTGCCCTTCACAGAAGCCGCGGTCCTGAAGTAAAGAGCAGGAAAACTTGATTGCCAACAGATTTTATTCCATATTTGTTGAGAATATTTCCAAAGTCAAAATGGTAAGGATACAGGCTGGAATTACATTTTATTAGTTTACAACTGAGACCCATGAAATTGGCAGTCATCTTCTTCAAAGATTTGTAAATTCCCTCTTTTCACATTAGTGCTAGACGTGACTTCTAGAAGTAATGAGCCCATTTGAACACAAGATAATTAAACTCTCTTTAATGTCACTATTCAGAAAATCAACCTTTTCTCAACATGCTTAAACTCCACAAAGAATGTTTTCATGTGCACTTCATCTTTTTCATTCCAGAGGTGTTTTGAGGCAAGAATTAAAAATATGTTTTTTTATTTTTTACTTTGGATTTGGAGTGAATGTAGTAGAATGAATTATTAAATCCTTACTGTGTTAATAAAACTAGTAGTTCTCTGTAATATTTTTTTCTCCTTGGCATAAGTGGTTTGTTAATTTTTCCAGAAATATCAGTGGCACGATCCAGCAGCATAGAAGAAAAACGATGTGGCGGTAAGCTTTTCAGCTCTAGAAGTATATTAAATGCTGAAATGTTGGTTCCCCATTTTGTGCTTTTGTTTCACTTTTTGCATGCTCTTAGTTTTATTCTAAATGCTGCATTCTCATTATTTACACTTGTACAGAAAAAGAAATGTAGTTACTACAGGATTTCTCATTAAATACCCATCTGCCATTGCTGACCTTTGAGACAAGTACATGTATTACTAGTTGTTTGTGTTTTCTTTTTTTTCAGTACAGCAGCCACCCTTGTCTCAAAAAGAAATTCCTTTTATAAGCTAGTTATCAGTAAGTCAGAATTTGTAAAGTTACTCCACCTTTTTCAGGATGATAATTTCACAGACCTCTTTGGGACCCCAAATAAATAGCAGAAAGGCAGCTTGCTAACCCATTTAATAGCTCAGACTGTATCTGGGACTCATTTTCAGCTTCACTGCCAAAGACAAAACTAAAAAGTAAAAAAAAAAAAAGGTTCCATTCCAGAGAGTCCTGATGCTAGCAAAACAAATCTTGAAAGGGAAAACTGTTAAAAAAAACCCAAACAAGAAGAAGAAGAAGAAAGAGGAAAAATGACCTTTTTTTTTGTGCTGAGCTATCACGCTTAGTCTGTGTTGTCATGGTAATAGCTCTGGCCGGTTCTAGTATTCTTCCATGCACAGATAAGCTGCATTTTTAACCTAATAAGGGACAATGAAAACACAGGGGTTATACAAGGGTACTAGTGTGCATGGTAACTTGTTATGGGAGCCAGGATAACGTGATTTGATTTTTTTCTAATTAGCAGTGGTAGTCTGAAAACATTTTGCCAAGTTCTGCAACAGTGGGAAACTCTCATAAAAGTGTAGAAGGATATTTCAGTGATAATTTATATATTGGGGCAGTCAACCTAGTCACCTAAATATTAGTTTGTGTTTCTAAATACCCAGTAAGCATGTAAAGGTCCTACCTTAGGTGTTTGCAAAAAATGGGACCCGTGTGCTGGCCCATTGTTCTGTATTACAGTGAAAAAGGTCTAACGTGTTTTTCAGGCCAGTGCCGGTCTTTCAGTTTAAAATCTTTCATTTGTGTATTTAGGCAACCACAAGCAAATTTTGAGTAATGCTAAGATGAAATTTCCAACATGAGCTTCTCACTGAAACTTCTTTCCTAATCAGAAAGCACAGCTCCAGTTTGAAATAGCAATGAAAAGCAGTGTAATTTGTTTATTTCCAGCTAATCCTACTGGTGCCACATCTGACCTGGTATCTCTGTGCAGTAACATCAGGGGATGATTGTGCTTTAGATTCCCTTCTAGAGTTTCATGCAGCAGCGAGCTTCCTCTCCGTTTCAATCCTTGCGGAGGTGGAGAGGGTTTCCCACCGCCTGATCCCGTGGTGTCTTTGAAGGGCAGAGTAGACAGGAGCGCTGGTTTCCGAGTTGTTGACTTTGCACTCTCTGGCTGCTATGGCTAAAAGCACACAGAGCTTTAAGGAGTCTCTCTCTCCCCCCCCTTCCCATTTTCACCTAAACCACTACCATTTCTTCTTCACCCCCCACTTACATAAAGAAAAAATTCTGAAGGCTGGAGAAGGGAACAAATTGGCCATATATCAAAGATACAGAAACGGTGAGGCCCAGCAAGAATCAAAGCAGGGGATGGAAAAAATGTACAGCATTGCTCCTGGGACATGCACCAAATAAAGGGGATATGGAAGACACTTTAGGGAAAGCAGGACTGTGATTCAAAGATATTAGGATTTTGTTAGTTCTGCCACAAGTCACTAGGTATAAGAGAAAGAACTAGAAGAACAGCAGAGGAGGTGATACTGTAGTTCACTGAAAAAAAGCTATGTATGTACATTCTATACATAATTTATATATAACAAGGCTTTGTTATACAATCCGTAGAAAAATTTTGCTGAACTATTCAAACATACAAAATGCAACTCATTCAACTGTTATTTGGGTTCTGAACTTGTTTAAGCATCTTTCAAAAGTCTCAGCCTTAATACTCACAGAGATGTATGGGTATCTGAGATTCCTATAACGATCCCTTCAGGGAAGTACAATGCATTTGCTACTGTAGGGCTAAACCATTGCAATTGAGATGTTTCTGGGAAACACATGAAATTTCCCTTATCCTTATTTGAATCGAGGACTTGTCTACATTTTTACCCAAGCTTAAGCTTGTATTGCTGCCTCCTTAAAATTAAGATTGTCTTCTGCTCTCCGCTCTGCAGAGTTCAACATGTTTCACATGATCGCAGTGGGATTAAGTAGCTCAATACTTGGTTGCCTTCTTACCCTGCTTGTTTACACTTACTGCCAACGATATCAACAACAGTCCCATGACGCAACTGTCATCCATCCGGTGTCACCAGCTCCTCTAAATACCAGCATTACCAACCATATCAACAAACTGGACAAATATGATTCTGTAGAAGCCATCAAGGTGAGAAGTGGGTTGGGAGCTCTATAATGCACAACGTATATGGTCCTAGACAACAGTTGTGCTGTATCGAAAGAATTCTACTTGCTAGTTTTCTGCAGTGGCATTGGACTCCAATTATGCTGATTGTTAATGACAAAAATAGATTCACTTGAGGTATTGTAATTATGGGTCCTTTTCTTTGTCGATCCCCATTACGTAGGAAGTTGGATTTTGTGTATGTGTAGAATTCATACAGCAGCAGCCTTTTCTGGAAAAAACAGACCACTCAAGTTTTGTTTTGTGGGGGTTTTTTTCCTAGTTGTGTTCCCTAGTGGCTTGTTCAAGAAGTGAATAGGGCCATTAACAGTCATCATGACATATATTGAAGATAATCCTTTGGCTCCAGTGCTATGGTGTCAAGGGTGGTCAGTGTTCATCTTCCTGCACTATGTCTTTATACAGGAGATGTACCTGGTGAATATATTCTGGGTCAGACTCGCAGCTAGTGTTCATACCCAAAATATTCTGTAAATGAGCAGTACAGATTTACATCAGCTGAGAGTCTGGCATATATCTATATCATATGATCATTGTTCCCAAACAGCTATTTTCTCTTTATGACCTTTTAGAATAGCTCCGCTTTTCAGATCCACAGAATTAAGGAAGGATGAGCATGCTGAAAATACCTAGTTCAGGATCTTCAGATTACACAGTTTATTCATGCATCTGCAAAGCTTTTTGTAAATGAGGATTTTTCTTAAATCCTACCTGGATAATCCAGTTTTTAATTTCTGCATTTTTCTTTCTAATTAAAGACATTTTAAAGAATTTCATTCAAAACAGCAAGAAAAGTCTGGATTTTGTAACCAGTGGTGGAATATGTACCTAATTTAAAGCTTTTCCAAATTCCATTAATCATCTCTCTGGATAGCTACAGAAACAAAAAAAAACCCTGTGAAAATTCATACTCTAAATACCCATATCACTTTTAAAGAAATGGGATTTACACTCTTAGGACCTTCAGACATTTCTCCTACATACTGCATTTGAAAATCAAGGAATTAATGCAGTAAAGGGAAAAGAATTCTTATTCAGTAAAAAGATAATGAGTGAATCATTTTAATAGGAAAGACTGAATATGTATGATTAAAAAGTATTTTTAATCATAAAATGAGTTTTATAATATTGGGGGGAAAGTGCCTGGGTTTACTTTATTCAGTAGCATTGCTTTTTGTAGGAATGTTATTATATAAGCAGATACGTGCAAATGCAGGTTTTTGTAAATGTGCAAGTATTTCTCAGTGCATTTTTGACTGACTTACAGTACACAGATATTTGCCACGGAAAATTGCCTTCGTAAAAGAGCACTTAGTGGCTACCTTTCTTCTGTCCTTCCCATTTTCTTATCTCTTCCTTTTTTTTTTTTATTTTCCCAGGCATTTAACAAAAACAACCTGATTCTGGAGGAGAGAAACAAATACTTCAATCCGCATCTTACTGCAAAGACTTATTCTAATACCTATTTTACAGATTTCAATAATTATGATGAGTACTAACGGGCTTGTGTATTTTCTGGCCTCCTGTAACTCCCCAGTCCCCAAGGCCTGTGCTACTTGACTGCTCATGTGATTGAGGCTTCAGAGATGAAGTTCAGAGACATTTCAAGCACAATCCAAGCCATCAATGTCCCATTGCTGCCCAAAGCCCCAAACACCTCTTTGTGACATGACGTTTTCTTTGCCGAGTGCAAGGTTGGCCTTCAGTGTCGGGGGCAGCTACAGCCCCTCGGTGTCAGTGGACCACTCCTGAGGACTGCATCGCTTCGCTCAGTTTCATAAGCCTCCAGTCAGAGTTCTCTAACAATTCCTGAGCTTTGTAAAAAAAAAAAAAAAAAAAAAAATGTTGCCCCTTAAAGCTGCGCCAGGAGTACAAATCTAATTTTCCTTTTAGGCATTGTCTTTTATTTCCGTGAGGCTTGAGCTGTGCCCTTAGCCACGGAGCCCCCTGTGCAGTCTCCAGAAGCTCACACCACCGAAAAGAGCTGGCAGGGTGCCGGGGACGATGGTGAGAAGAACCGTGGTGGTTCGGCGATGCGCTGCGGCGGCTCCGGGCTCCGTAGGGCTGACCTTCCCGGGCTGGAAATCACTCCGGCTGCAGTTCGGCCGTTCGGAGCGCGGAGACCAAGGCTGTACCGAGGGACGTGATCTCATGATTAAGCCAGAAAGCTGCAGGGTCGGTGGTTTCCAGTTGTGAGCCAAGCCCAGTCACGTAAAGCCTCCCTTCCCCTAGTTCGGCTTAATTTTGGGGAGGGTGTGGAAGGGCAGGTCCGGCAGGGAGGGCAGATCGGAGTGGGGCGCTCCAAGGTTTTTCTGCGTGTCGTTAGTAAACCGGCCTCGCTGCAGCGTGTGGGTTGGCAGGAGTGGCGGCATCCCTCGGGATCCCTCTCCCTGGCGCATCCCTCGGGGAACCCGCTGGGCTCCCCGCGGCGCTGGCCGCCGGGCTGGCCACCGAAAGCTGCAGCTGCGCCCGCTCTGCGTGCCGCCGCGGGCTGGCGGGGGTACGCAGGTGTAATCGCAGACGTGCTTTTCTCTTTCCGGCTTTTGCTTCACGTGCGCACGTCTGACAGAGAGAGCCGGCTCAGAAAACGCAGATGTGTTTGCAAAGCCTTGTCTCATCTTGCTGCCCTGTCCGACCCGCGCTATCAGCCCCTGGAGGAACATTCTTATGGTGTTTTAAGTGATTATCTCGTTGGACTTCATTGATGTAAATATTTAAGAAACTGTTTGAGTTTTAAGTTATCAGTTTTAATTCCTTTTGTAGTGGCAGGTGAGGAAACACAAAGAATTTTTAAACCGTTTTTCTTTGTTCTGTCTGTCTTCACCCACATTCATGACATTGTTATTTTTGTACCTGAAATTCCAGATAGATAACTAAAAAGAAAAGGGCAGGGATTTGTGCCAGATTTTCCAGAGTACTTAGTAGTAAGGCAGCATTTGCTATTCTCAGAAGCTTGTGAAAAGAAATTAAAAGTGAATATTAAGGATTAAAGAATTGGCCTTTCATTATTTTGAGCATGCTAGACGCAAAGATCATCGCAGCAGAATACCAGGAAGGTGTGCAAGGAGAAGCAGAGTGGAAAAGTTTCCATTCTGTGTTCAGAGCCCTTGATCGTTAGGTTACGCTATGATAGGCAAATAGAGAAAAAACATGTACAGATTGTAATGATTCACAGCTATCTACAAAAAAAGCAAAAAGTACCAGGAACCATTGATCACGAGACTGCATTTGAGCACCACTTTGGTGGTCCAGCCACTTACTTACATAGCAAGGGGAAACCCCGTATCTAATGATGGCAATGAGCAACATTTTTGCATGGGGATAGATCTGAATGTAGCACTATGCTTCCTATCTCTGTTCTGCAGTAAAATAAAAAAAAAATGCAAAGCAAGTGGTCTTTGAAAAGCTGTGCAGTAAAATGAATGCACATTTACCATCTATGAAAATAATTAAGATAAGCCCCTATTTTTTCCAGCTGAATAGTTCTCCCTGTTTCTAACTCAGTCAAAAGAAAGCACCCCACCATCACACCAGTTCATCTCCAGAAAGTATAATAATACTGGGTTTCTTTTTTTACTGTACGTTAGATTTGGTTTTTCAGGAAGAAATTAGCTGGTTGCCCTGGGTGAGAGGAAATTTTCTCTGCAAGAAAATTCAGTGAAACAGATAGAGGGGGAAAAAGCTCTCCAAATCATAACCAGTCCAGTATCTGAATCACTCTGTCCATGCCAAAAGATAAAATTTTACAGTTAAATAAGATAAAGAAAATAAAATCTAAATTGCTACCAGTGCCAAGAAAAAGCAGCACATGCACATACACACATATGCACAACACTGTTCCTCTCTGCCCCCATACTAAGAGCACATTAGTCTGGCTTATGGATTTTATATTTAGACTATTAGTTATGACACCAATATCTTAAAAATATTTGAACTATGTGTTTTTATTTTAACCTTCTTTAATTAAAATTATCTGAAATTAGCTTTTCTTTTTACCTGTTCAGTAGTTTGAGGCACGCCTATCTTTGCAGTGATCTATTTTCCGTTCTTCTCATGGGTAGATACCCACGTTAGATACGTGTTATATATGCAGTAATAATACCCTAGGTTAAGTCTGCATGATCATAGGCAGAAGTGCATTTAGCAGATGCTCAGTCTGTTCATGCTTCCATCTCCCAAAGGAGTATTTCAGGTGTTCCACATCTTCGAGTGACTCTCATGTGATGTCATTTAAACACTTTAAAATTATTTTTCTTGCCGTTTAGCTTCCTAAATTACATTGTTCTAAATTGCAGGCAGAGGTATATTCAAAGCTCTATCTAAAGCATTACGGTAAACGTGGAAGTTTCACAGCACTTCAACGAGAAAAAATTGATGGCAAGATCTCCTTGTCAAGCTAGATTCTGAGACAACAGGTTTTAAAGCCATCAGGTATTTGTGTCCTAGGAAATTTTAGAGGACCCCAGATGCACTGCCTATATCAGTATTTTCACCTTCTGAGTTCTACACAGCTGCCCAGGTAGTTTAATACAGCCTTTCCTAATAAGTGGAGCAAAGCAAAGTGGAGTCTCTATTAATTTTCACTTTATTTAGCATTTTTCCTAAAATAAACTACACACATTTTGGTGAAAAGCAGATTTCTCCATGAAAGCTCTTATTTTTCTTTTGCCAAAAATGTAGCAAAGTGGGCATTTGCCTGCGAATCTTGTTTAAGCCGATAGAGCTCTCAAAAACGTGCAAGGGTAAAATTTGGTTCTTGCAGCATTGTTCTGTTCTTGGAAAGGGAAAATCAACTCCCTTGCCCATTAAATGCCATTAAATACCCCTTATCCTTTCACTTGGATAAGGTGATCTTTTCTGGATAAATAATTGTATTACCTCTGATGCCAATAGTTAATATTACTAAACCACTTTTACACTGATTGCATAAATTTAAAACTGTTTCTCTATTTTGAGTACAAATATTTTGGCAGATAGATCAAAATTCTCTGAGTAAAGCTGTATCTGTGTAGCCCTGCTACATGGAGTGAGGAGGAAGCAGCATTGCCAGTCGGATCCTGTACAGTACACACTTTCATTGGATAACTCCAGCAGAATTGCGCTTGAGTACACATTTTGGGCTTATTTTTGTGTCTGATACATAGCATACGTCCCTCAGTTGCTTAGAAAATGGACTCCTGTGCTTGCAGATTTATCTTGTACTTTGATTTGAGTCTGATAACCTTTATGGTCATTTAAAGTTACTTTATGTGGAAGCTTTTCCAGCCGTTTGCAGTCACCTGCTGTTGGAGCAGTGTGGTTTGGCTAAAACTAATCAGGAGATTTTTGCCTAGGATTAGGATTTTCATAAGAGAGTGGGAGAAAGAATGGGGCTTAAATGGCTTTGATTTCCAGGCTATTAAGCAGTACTGATTAAAGTCTCAGATGGGTGTAGGACACTGTGCATTTCGTTAGCTCTACCAGAGCTCCACAGTAACCTCTGGGAAAATACCGCGTCAGTGTACAAATCAAGAGCTACCAAAGCACTTATGTTAAGTGAAGAAAGTTCTCAGAGCATCAGACCATATGGCTGTTCAAACCAGAAAGGAAAGTAAGAGGTCCCAGATGCAGCAAAAATGTTAATAGGAGTAAATGCTTCAATATTTTTTTCCTCATAATTATAGAATGAATATAGTCACTTCTTTAAATGTGGGACCAGTTCTATTAAAATCAGCGCAACATAAGCACATTCCTGAAGTTAATTGTATGCATAATGGCTTTGCTGTATGAGATCAATTCTGTAAACAGTTTGGTCCAAGCTTATCTTGCTCTGCTTGAGGCATCTGACCAATTTCTGACTGTAGCTGCCACCAGCAGCCTCTACATCTCGTCTGGGAGAACGTCCTTAGGTGGGCAGAGTCACGTCCTGGCGAGGGCTCGTGTCTCTCCACCGACACTACAGTGAGCCTGGAGAGAGGCACGTCCGATTTTCACTGTCGTTTGGATGCCTAAATTGAGATTGGCAAAAGCTAGGCTCTTGAGCATGAATGTACTCATCACCTAAGTAACCACACCGAGTTCAGTGGTATGGATGTAATGAGTTACTTACTTTAATGTGTTTACAGGATTGAGCCCAAGATATATTGCTTCTGCACAAATCCATGATGACTTCAATAGTAAGAAAACCGATTCATTTAAAATTGTTCACAAGCAAATCTGCATCTTGATATCAGGGAATAGATATGTGTTCATTGTGTGGGGTATTTGAATTCATTCCTTTCTTTGCTAAATAAATGAATGATAAAACAAGATACTGCTTGACTTCATTTAAAAGCCATTCTTCCAAATAAAGAAGGGTTCTGGGATCTGTGAATGTTTTCCCTTTCTTTCTCTCTTCTCTCCTCCACAAAAATGAATCTGTGTGTGGCTGAAATGGCCTTTAGTGAGGCTGTTCAGTGTAACGAACTGAATGCTTTGCATTGTGTTGCCATGCGACAACATTTTCTAACCGGGATGGTAC